ACCCAGGATGATAAAGCAAATGTTTGAGATTTAATCCCAGCCTTGAACATAACAAAAAGCTCTTTCCCATTCCATCAGTGCTCTTTCCTCACACGTACATACAAGGACAGCACAAGTTGGTGCTTGTTCCAAAAGAACAGACACACATACAGGAAAGTACCTCAGGGTGGGGATGGCTAGTGCTGAATTCTTCCTCTGCCAGCAAGGCTTTGCCTGATACCCTACTTTTCTGCTGGTTACCCACCTTTCCCCACAGCTCCCTCAGACTTACTCACTGGACTCATGTATCTACCTTCAAGCCATGCAGCCTCTTTTATTTCTGTAATTCTTCTACAATATTTTTCATCAGAATGTGTTTTCTAAGTAGAGCAGCAGTGGAACACAAATCTTAAAATAACACAAAATCTTAAAAGAAAGTGCAATATTGTCCTGCTGTAAAACTACTAAAAAGTCACAATTTACACCTTGGTTCTCTCTTCTTCACATCTGGTATTATCAGATACCTATAATAATTTTTATGGAAGATTTTATTGAAATCCTTCTTATGAACTCACTATTCTGCTTCCTACACAAATATAAGCTTTGAAGCCTATCTTTCCTTCCCCTCCCCAAAATTTTAAACATCCTATTGTTAAAAAAAACAAACAAATAAGTTACTAATTTCTCCACAACAAATAGTCCCTCTGTTTATTCCAGTAAATGTAAAGAGCTAAAGAATATGCAACTGTATCTAATGCTGTGAGCCAGGACATCAGTACCCTAAACACTTGACCTCCAAACAAAAAGAAGCAGACGGCATAAAGTATGCACCTAAAGCAGGATGCCATCTTTTAATTTTACTGTGCAGAAAATAATACAACCTTTCCAGAAGTTATACACCATCATCTCGTGCAGCAAGTGCTAAAAGAAGACAATGAACAATAACATTATATAAATCAGCTGCACCTAAAATGCTGAATGTATTGCAATACTATAATACCATTACAAAATCTCTTAGGCACAGTCTTACTACCAGCAAATTCACAAGGCTCACTTTAATGAAAATTATATCCAAGGATATAACTTGGCTTTTAAGCCAAGGATACAATTTAGTCCTTAAGTATATAATTGAGAAAAATATCATTAGGCTCAGAACTTGGATTTCCTTCACGTTCCCGCACTACTAATTTTAACTATCCCAGAACTAGGCATAGGCATAACTGATGGCCACATTTAGTCCAACAGGTGTACTAGGTCAGACCACAGATCTCCCTACTTCAGCACACCATCTCCAGTATGAATGGCAAGGGGAGCATATAAGAACAAAGCTAGTATGTAAGGGATACATCCTCAGAATGCTGGAGTTTAAAGACAGGTTATGTCTTTCAATTTGGAAGAAAATACAGATTAGACAATCCAATTCCTTCTAGATGAACACCTCTTTCAGCAGAATAACCAAATTAATATGTATAAAGCATATATATTCTGATATAAAGTTTCATTTTTAAGGATCTACAAAATAGTCCACAGTTCTGGGCTCTGAAACTGCACGTTTTCAGTAACATTCATGAAGTTGGCTTTAAAAATATGCCTTAGGATTACATTAAAGGTTTTCAGAATTCTATGTGTAAAACATTGAAGGGATCTAAGGAGCACTTTCCTAATTTGGGTATTACGTTATGCATAGAAGTTCCATCCTCAATCAAGCTTTAAAGGCAAGCTCTGTGAATCATGTTAAGCCAAAATAGTGACAGGTGAAGGCCCATTTCGTAATAGTAAAACTGGGCTTTTTTGGCCACAACATTACCTATTTACCAAAGGCTGTTGTACATTCTCATGGACTACAGCAACAGTCATCTGCAAATTCTAGATTTTACAGATTTGCCTGTCTTAATGCATTTTATATATAAAAATCCCCAAACAAACCACCAAACTTAACCCCCACCTTGCTATGTAAAAACAATGTTTCTTCTACTTCTCTATGGAGTTGCAACACACTGAATCTCCTATACAAACAGCAGATTAGCTAATCTTTCTTTTTTTGGACAGAAGAAAGAGAAGCCTGAAGGGAAAGAAGAGCAGAATAAATGGAGTAACATGTACTGGGCACATGTATCAATAAGCAACACTTTGAATTGTGGAGTTGTGGAACCACAGAGCATGAGTTTTGTGGAGGTCTGAGTGAAACAACAGAAATCAGATTTTTTTTTTTCCCTGCTTTCTGCATGACCTTTGGACAGGGGCAGGGGAGTAAATAAAGACTATCAAGATCTCTGTTTACTCAGACAAGAATTTAGGAACAGCAGTTATCAACCACATACAAGTTTCTACAATCACACTGTGTCTTGGGAAGGAAGATATGCCTTAACTCTTGCTCATTTCCTAAAGAGAGATGTAAATCTCAAGTTGAAAGTTTCAATACAAATGGAATGAGTTTCAATAATTTAATTTTCTATTTTTTCTAATGCATCCTGTCAAGAATACATTTACTATATCTTCAGGGCTTTGTAGCTTTCCTGTTTATTTTAATAAACATAAAATAACATAAAAATAACATAAACATAAAAATAACAATAGTTTCATTCCTAGCGGTCTACACATTGAGATAAAGAGATCAAGGCACCTACACCAAATTCCACAGTGAAAAATATGAACCATAGTGTTTCTTGGTCTGTTACTGTAATTGCCATTCAGATATGTACAGTGGTAGCAGCCCACAGTAATGTGAAAATCTGAACTGACCTTAGAGAGAGATGTGCGAATGAAAACACATTAAGACAGCACTTATTTAATCAAATTCCTATTGTAGCCAATTCCACACTTTTTCCATCATTTAAATTAACAAAATGCTACTATCTTCCATTAATCAAAAATAAACATGGCATACAGAAGATATAGCCAGAAAGGAAGAAAAAGAAGAGCATGCTGAAAAGGTGAGAAACACAGATATATCAACCACAGGTACAGCCTTTACCCAGGCATTTCTACCTTCACTTTCAGCAAACACCGCAATATACCAGTCAGCAAAAGGACAAGGAGCATAAAAACCAGGTGTAAAAATTACAGGGAGTTGGTTGTGAAAATAATGATTGGGGTGAGCAGCCAACTGCATCTCAGAGTACTCCTGCATCTTCTTCTCTCTGAGAGGTGGAATATGACACTTTGTGTAAAGCCTCCATGTTTCACTGAAAACACATTGTTTTATCCAAGATCAATGCTGAAGTTGACCCAGCCTTTTTTTGGGTGGCTCAGGCTAAGGCTCGCTAACATAAGCAGCTCAAACTGCAAAAAGATGAAGGTGAGCAGCAAAGGAATGATGCTAAGCGCCTGGGGAAAGTTCGGAGTGTAAGATCTTCCCTGGTACATCTGCAGTCAGAAAGGAGCCTATTTCTAACTCACCTGTAGCATTAGAGTACAAATGTAAACCAAGTATTAAAGTAAGCTTTTGTTGGGGAAAAAAACAACACAACAAAAAAACATAGTCACACTTTTTTCAGTATTTCCTGTGTTAAAACATTGGAAGAAAAAGGCAAAAAGGTATTTCTTAAAACAAAAGTCCTACTTGATGGATGTGTGAAGTAAACACGAATAGGTAATTTCACGGTAGCAATGCTACCAGTAAATACTTCCTGTTCCAAATATTGACTCAAGTGTCAGTTCTTTGAGACACCCCACGATCTATGTGATCTAGCAAAGTCTTGAAAATTAAATGCTGAGGGGATAGAAATCAGAGATCACCAGGCCATCAATATCTCCACAGCCACAAACTCCAGCCAAAAGTGACCCAGGTTTTTATGCTGAGTTTATGAACCCCATTTATGCTGTATCACAAATACTGAATTTCTAAGCAACAATTTGAAAAAGTAACATAGAAATAATAAAATTGAATTCCTTTCACTTAAAGAAGAAATACATATGAAATTTCTTTCTCCAGAACTTCCCAGTTACAAACCTACCATCCTCTTGTATGGCAGGGTACTGCACTTCCTTAGCTCTCACATATTTACTGTGCTTCCCCCTACACTGTTGTCTCCCTCATTAGCCTACAGATTTATTTTCCATTCTATACCTCAGTGTCTCCTTTCTCTATACAATTAACTCCAGAAATTGTTAACTCTTGCATTCTGGCAATCTTATCCTATCTATTATTCCTAAACCCCCAAACATATAAAGGATATGTCCCAGAAAAAGGTATATCAAAGAAAGGGGTTAAAAGGGAAACAGAAGCATTTCACTTAAACTGGGACAAGACAGACTGGAGATTCAATTTCCTACAAGATGACCTTAATCAAAAGCTTGGGATTTATAGAATAACTAAATTAGCAGTTCTCAGTAAAGCCCATAAGGATTACATCTAAGACATTTCAGTAACTGACAGAATATGCCACTTTTAAAATATTTATTAAGCATTTGCATAATGTCTGATATGGCTTTAATTTCAAATTTATTAAAAACACACAGTCATTTCACACAAAAAACATACCCACAACTGTGAGAAATAAGAGCTTACTATGGTTTCCAGTGGAAAAGCAGAAAGTTTCCCATGACTTGTTTTCTTTTAGGCAAGGAAGGAAAGTAATCTAATTCATCTAACCTAAAGAAACAATATCACCTTGGCTAAATACAAGCAAACACAACTTCTGCCAATGTCTTACCAAAAAATATTTGTCATTTTCGACTCACCCCGCTTCCCTCCTAAATTATCTGCTTAATCTCAACTGAGATCTCCCTATTTCACCTACTGCAAAGATGAATGTTGGGTATAAACACAGCTCTCAGAGGCAAGGCAATCACTGCTGCAGGGTAACAGGAAAAATGTCTCTACATGGTCGCAATCATTTGCCTTTCACCACTTACTCAGACCAAAGCAGCAAAAAAGTTCAGGTCATTTCCTGACTGGCACAGCACGTTATAGGAAGATACACACTCTATTAATTTTTAATTTCATTGCTCACAGACTGAAAGCCCAAAAGGAGAGCATTTCTTTTTAAAGCATAAAGAAGGGCACTGAAACTGCTTACCTCACTCAGCTCTGCAGGGGAGTCATTTCCATATTTCATAGCAACTCCAGAATTCATGATTAGACTTCTTAAGGCTTGACGATTTCTGCAGATTTCAATGCTTCAAAGCTTTGTTCAACTGGTTCAATACTTTCTCCTCCAAAATTTTTCCGTCTGACACATTTTGCTCTAGACAGCCATTTTTACTCCACATTGAGAGTTTAAGTTAACGATGCAAGATCTTCTAAAAGATCCAAACTGGCTTTGACTTCACAGACAATCCATTGCTGTGAGAGACTTGTTAATACTGTGAAGTACTCAGAAAATGCCGGGAAGAAACTGCTTACCAGGACCTCAGGGCTGTCTTAGTCCATCTGCAAGGCGTGCTTCATCTCTGCTGTCTATTTTATTCTGCTCTTTTCCACAACTCTGTTGAAGGGTATCTCCCAATGCTGTTAAACATACTCAGAAAAATGTGATGAGCTTCTCACAAGTCCACAGAGAAATTAAAAAAAAAAAGGAGCGCTGCTACAGTCTTCAGTGTTCACGGAGGGAGAAAGGAAAAGAGAAGAAAGCTCCCCTCTCTGAGAGAAACCGATGCTGCACTTCACGCTAAAGTTTCCCCTGCCAGTAAGCCTGGAGTTTAAGTGGTTTATGATCAAACACAGCTGTCTGGCTGCTGGCTAAAGGGTGCATGGAAGGGGCGGTACTAAAAGGAGAGTGCAAGTGGGAGGGAGAGAGCTACAGAGAGTTCATTTTGGAACTACAGGCATCTCTTCAGCTTTCTGCATACTAATTACTATACAGAAAACTATAAAGCTAAGTAACAGGAAATACCACCTGGATAACAATAAATTGGATTCCTATTTCCCTATTCCTGTGTGCAATTAAGTAAGGAAAACTGGGGTCTTTAGGGGGTGGGAGTTGTAATGATTTCAAAAGGTCACAGTAAGCCTGAAAGCACCATTAGAATGCTGCAGATTTTACATAACAGACTGACATTTTACAAATGGTCCAGGAGATACTGCTAGAAGGGAGAAAAAAGCATTTGCTTTCAACATTCAACTACAAATCTAGAAAAATCCTTAACAAGCTGGATTTGTGGACATGCTGCACCCATTGCAAGAACTGATGATATCCTATCCCCTTTCCTCCATCCCCTAAAATACAGGGGGAGCCCCACACACTTTGTGATGCTGGATTATTATGTACTTTTGGAGTTAGAAGTAGGAAATACCCTACTCTGCAGCTGAAATTTATCATATTAATAGAATGTATTATTAAAGTGTCAAATTAGTTCAGAAAAAACCCTGAAATATAAGAAATATAAGAAATAAATGCTATATGAGCTGTAGCAGAGTTCTTACACCCTGCTAAAAAAACCCATCTGCATGGGAAACAATGCACTCCAAATACCGCATTTTGAAAAATTATATTGTGATTATTTCTTTCTCCTCTGTTAATCATGGATTAGTATCAGTGTGCAGACATAGGGATAATTCATTCCAGTGACAATACAGAAAGTGCATTAAGAAGCAAGATAAACACACGGATATTGCTCTGTGATAGTACAAAGTGGTAGCACTTTCTGGGTCCCTGTCCTTCCTCCATGCCCAGTATCAGGAACTGCAACACTGCTCTGGCTCAGGGGGTAACGGGAATGCCACAATCTCTTTACAAGATATTTTACTTTCATCCTCCAGGTCTCAAGTTTGCTTTAGCTAGTCTGCATCCTGGGCTTTCCCTTACTCTTTACACGCCCACCTTGCATCGCCTCCATTCTTCATTATTTTCCTCTTTGAGTCCCTGTACCACCTTTACATTCAGTTCTGTCTCTACGTTCAGTGCTTCTGTGTATATTCCTCTTCACTAATCTGCTTTGTTTCCAACATGTTTCCAGTTATGGCCCCTCAAATCCCAGCGACGGGCTGCACTGCTCTCTGCTGGTAGGTGGGTGGTGATGCTGGGACGAACTGTGCTCTTCATCTCCAGTGGGTAGGAGGCCAGGAAGATGCAGACTCCTCCAAACTACAAACTGCGGTATGGAACAGCATATTCACAGCATTGATATATTATTAACAGGTACCATAAAGGTACTGTATAGTCACTTAGTTCACTGTTGATGAGTGAACTCACAGATGATGTGTCCTCATAGATGAGGAAAATCCCCCACAACTTCAGTTCAAAAATTCCTGCAACCAATAAAATAAATCTAAAAATGTTTTATCTTTTCAAAATTATGTCTTCACAAACAGGGGGATGAGAGTTTTTTGTGGTTTTTTGCATCACTACTCCTATCAACTTTATTTTCCCCTTTATAATCTGATCTGCTCTGGTCTTTGTCCAATTCTGTTACATATATCACAGGTTCACCAACTACGGGATAAGCCTCGGCATTACTAAGAATAAAGTTCTAAGGTTTCCGTTTTCTAAAGGAAAGTCCATATTAATCATGGCTTCAATACACTGCATTTCCCATACTATATCCCTATACTGCCATATACTTCCCAGCCAACTGTGAACAGCCATTCAGAAATTAAAAGTTATGACTTGTTTTCTTCACTCACCATTGTTTGTCCATTTCTGTCAGACTGGGACATTTCAGCCATCCGACAGATCAGACAGAGCACATGGTACCACAGATGCATCCCAAGCATGATCATGCAGGACACTTCGGGATCTGAACTAGATCCACTGTAAACTCTACACATATAGTGCACAGGATTTTTTTCCACCTTTTTTCTACTCTTTACAGAATTCACAGCTTCAGATGTGTGTAAGAACATGGGAGATACATGCAAGTACTTTCAGAACAAAGTTTATTTAAAATTTAAAAATTAATTGTAATCCATGTGCCAAAGAGTGAAATGGTTAAACCAAACTCTGATGAAAAATTATTTTACTTTAACCCCACCTGACTCCCACTGCAGTCTGCATGCTTGCACTGAGTGGTACAGGATTACACATTTCTCAGTTGGAAAGCATCAACTGTTAACCAACCCATAAAAACTGGCAATGCTTATTTCAGAATCCTTATAAACTACTGTGGAGGGCTAGCTAAGATTAAATGTAACAATTCTCAAATACTTACTCATATATCACATTTTTAAAATAGTAGCATCAAGAACATAGTCTGAGCACCTGAAGATGTAGAACTTGCTCTTCTGTGAAATGTCATTTTCATCTAGGATTTCTCCAAGTCCATTTACTAACCGAATGAAAACATTACATCACAAAATTAAATTCCCAGATAGACCTGACCAGCTGTCTGCAGGCTGTTTTACCATTTTCAAATACATGCAAGAGACCTAATACAATAGCAGGGTAGTAAGAACTTTGTTGAAGCCAAAGTATATTTTCCCATTGGCTTGTGCCAAAGGCAGATTTCAAAGAAAACAAAGGAAAACCTCAAGTATGCCAATTCTGCATTGCCAGGAAATTAGCAGAGCACCCTGTGACCCAGTGAAAGAGGTGCCTTTTGGATTCAGTCCCTCTCTGTTTTGTTTGGCAGCGTACAGTTCATTCTCTGCCTGACAGCTCCTTGCCTAGGATAGCAATGTTTCCTTGCTCTCAGCCTTTTTCCTGTCTTCTCTTTTAGCCTCTACAGGCAGGGAGAGGGTCAGCCTGGGAATGGGAAGAGAAATCTCTTAACCTGCAAATGTACATTTCCTAGTCCAAGATGACGTGGTCTCAGTGGATGCCTCAGTGTGTACTACAGCATACACAAAAAGGAGGTAATAAGCAGCTGGACAAACCTTTCTGTCACAGAGGCTTTTCAGGAACAACATCCACCAAATGCTTTCTCTCAAGACAGTGATGCTGGCCTGGGCTTCCACTCCATCCCAGTGCATTCTGATCCATTACTGCCTTTTGTACCTCTAAAGCACTCATGATGCACATACTGCTTGTAGGTAAGCACATTTGCACTGACTCTTCCCAGGATAATCTCAGAATAATGCAGCAACAACCATTAGTGTTGCCAGTTTGCTGATTGTTGTTCTAATAATCTTATGGCCACTCTATTCCAATTGTTTACTCTTATTACATTGTAGTGAAAAAATCATTGGCACGTGTCCAAGAATCACCAGGGGTTTCTACTTTTTTGATTGTATCTGAATAATCATTTAGTAAGATTTCTCTATCACCTGGTCTAAAAGGATTCTTTCAGGACAATACACAACTCTGTTGCCCTTCTCACCTTACTTTTGAAACTGTCACAGAATATGGAAAACATTAGCAGTTATTTAGTAGTTATTTAGTAGTTATTTAGTAGTTATTTTACAAGGCTGCTCCCTCATAATATGTCTTAATAACTACAACAGTCTATTTGCTTACAGTTAGTGGAGCAGGTGTGACACTTGGCACACATGAATATTCCTTCCTTGATTTAACAGCCGCAAAGTGAAAACTACAGCATAAAAGCAATTATCTATTAAATATGTATGTGTCATATATTCTTCATCATAATGTGTGCCACTTTCTGAGAAGCAGCTTCACTCTGTATGCAACATGCAGGATTAGCTGATCACAATTCCAGGATGTATGAAATAAGCCCTTCTTGGTTGGTTCTGGTTAATTAGCTCTATAATTGAAATGCAACTAATTAAAGTCCACTGAGCATTTAGTTCCTATTTGTTTGTTTCAATATCATCTCCATAGCTAAAACAGCACCCTGCACAATCCTGCACACAAATAAATTACACCTTCAAGTATTGCAAATCTACTACAAAGAGTTTGAGTACAATTTTATTTTCTTCTCATTCTTGCACAAAATACACTGGTGTAGTACGTTTCCATGCACAAAAAAGTAGTACTCAGAAGGTTAACATGAGGGCTAAACTTGGAAGCAGAAATTCAATACAGTAGTTAGATAATGTTTCCAGAAAATTCTTTATTCAATAGCACTAATGCACTATGATTTAAAAGGGAAAGGCTAAAAGGAATGGCAGGTTCATGACACAAACTGTTCTCATTAATGCTAGTGAAGGTTATGCACCTAGATTGAGAGAAAAAAAATCCAACTCATCTGAAACAATTGCAAGTAACCTTACACTGAAAAATGAAGTATTTTCTTTGAAGAAAATAGAAGCAAAAATTTCCTCTTTCCTTCAATCAAACCATCTCGATTAGTCTTAAACAGATAACATGTCTAGAATAATACAATTTCCAAACAGCACTTTAATCAGCTACTCTCACCTGTTCACCCTTCCTCAACTATTTAATCCACTTAAAAAGTCGTATCCTTGACCCAAGCAGTCTCCTCGGGAGTTCACATTTGTTCCTTTTTTCCATCCTCCAGTGTTTCAAGCCATGAAGCCACTCACCAACCTGTCAGACACTTTCATTTCCTGTCACTTCATCCAAGCCTATCATATTTATTTTGATTCCCTCTGACCCCACAGAGCATCAGCACCATATGAGGACAGGAGAAGAATGAGGGAGTCAATGTGTGCCTGTTATTCATGTTGGAGACTTGTCTGTGAGGACAGGGAGAGACAACAGCCATTTCTATGCTCTCTTTGTACTGCAGCCTCGTAATATCATCACTGTCTATTTGCTCCTTGCTTGAAATCCCCAAGAATGCCATTGTGTAAACTACAATTCATGCCATCAGACTTCTGCTTACCTTCTCTTCACAGTCCA